ACAAGATCAATTTAAGGTCCCTTCCCACCCAAACCGTTCCATGATTCGATGATTTTGTTGTCTTTAGGATTAGTGCATGGCCAGATGCTCTTCTTCCTTCAAACTGGAGAAGAAACCACAACAAGGGCACGAGCTGGCAGAGCCGAGAGACAAAGCTGGCCCCAAAACTGCAACGGGGTGTTAAAGTACATCAGGAATGTGATCGTGACTGAAACACCCCCGCCCCTAATCCCAGCCCGGGGGTCTGAACTGACCTCGGTCTCTGCCCCCACCACACCCCTCCTCCAGCTCCTCTTTTTCCATGCTGCCCCCGCCTCCCTCACCTGCAGCTCCTTCAACCACCTTGGGAGGGCCAGAGGAGCTCCAGGTGACTCCATGTCCTCCCGAACCTGCATTAACCCCTCTGGGACCCGGCAATGCAGCACGGAGGGGAGACGAACGCCGAGAGCTCCCGTTCCTCATCCCTGCTGGGTTTGGCTGCAGTGGGAATCCTGCTCGGCTGCAAGAGATCCCATCTTTGGCTGCTTGACTGCAGGGCTGGTCACTCACAACCCACCACAGTTTAAATTCAGGGCAGATGGAGCAGAGCAGCAGCTTCTAAAGTTTCATCCCTGAACTATTTCTCTAACGAGATCTAAAGCAGCAGCAGTAATTAGTGAGAGGAGTTATTTTATCACCAGCCATGCAAGACTCAGCATAAGGCTTCCAACCCAAACAACCACGTATCCACCCAAGTGCCAGACAGCTCCTTCAGATAAATCAGTCATCCTGTCCTCAGCTTGGATTTGGCAATAAAACCCCCCAAACATCCCTGGCATTGCTGCTCCCAAACCTGTTTGCTCCTCTCTGCCTGTGAAACGCTGGCGGTTGGAGCGGTCTGTTCTTGTGAAAGGGCGGAGCAACCCAGAGCCCGAAATCTGCCAGAGCTTTGTGTTTGCTGGAAGGGTGCCCGGCGTCCACGAGTGCAGATACTGCGGGGAGATTAAGTCTAGAAAGTCTTTCTTCAAATTCACAGAGCTGCTGGCCAGAGTAAAATCTGATATTTAATTCTTTAACCTTTATATCTCAACTGCTGCTGAACTGGGATTTTTTAAGGGGGGTAGGATTACACCCACAGGAGAAGAATTGAAAATCTGTTGCCAGAGTTTTTCCATCGTTTTATTAAAAACTTCCAAAGGTCTAAAATGAAAATGTACACCAACTACAAGGGAACCAGTTTGTACACTCACAGTTAAAGTGCTAAAAATTAAACGTTACAAAACCGACACTGGACTACTGTAAACAAGTCTACCAAGAGCCGAGTGCAAGTGGGGTCAGCCACGGGCAGGGACTGCCCCACACATTCCACACGTAGAGGTCTCCTGGGAGCTCCTTCCCCTCTCCTGAGGAGCTGGGCGTTGTCACAACACGGACAGGACAGCGGAGTGCCGAGGGAAGGGCTGCCGGAGGCGTTACATGCACCGAGTTCCCCATGCACGGAGCAAAAACCGGGAAAACGCCGCGCCTCGGGGGAAAAATCAATCCTGATCCCGTTAGGAAAGAAGCACAAGGGGATAGGGGTAAAGCTTCACATTCAACTGGACATTCTGCTGCTCCAGGAGGAGCTGGGGATGGCTCCTGTGCTCTGCTCCCTGCCCTGGTTTCACCACACGGACGGAGCTCCCTGCTGCTTTCCGGGATCCTCAGTGCCCTGGAGCTGGGCTGGAGAATGGCTCCCCTGGGAGGGTGGGCACTGCTCTAGGCTGGCCTGGCTCTCATCCTTGTGCCCTTCCTGAGGGATTTTCCCTTCTTGCTGGAATAACTCGGGAGCAGTGCTGGATTTGGCCGTGACAGGGTTTCAGCCCGAGCCTCCCAGTGCTACCCCGTGCTCACCAGACCCTCCTAGAGCTTAAAGCTTCCAGCACAAAATCTGGGTGTGAGCTGGAAGAAAAGGGAGAACACAAACACACCGACACCCAAACGTGGCTGTTTGCTGCTGCTGGGTTGTTTATGCTTTAAAAAAGAGCAGCAGCCTCTTCCATGCAACGGGACCGCAGCTCCAGTCTGAGATATTTCCCTGGAGCTGAAGGGGTTAAGAAAGAAGGAACACCACAAACTCGGGGGATCTGTTGTCAGTGCAGTTGGGTTGGTGAAGCAGGAGATCCCTGGGAACACTGGGAATGAGGAGCTGTGCTCTTTGCAGGAAGCTTTGACAGAGCAATTCCACGGAGCAGAATTTTGGGGTGCAGCCATCGCGTGCGTGGGAGGGACAGGGAGGAAGTTTGGGGTGAGCTGGAGAAGCCAGGCACTGTCCAGCTTCCCTGCCTGCTTCCTGGAGAGAGGATCCAGCTTTGGTGGCTGCTGGGGAGGGACAAAGCACTGCAGGGACATGCAGGGAGCCCAGAGCACCTGGGGACTGCAGGAACGCCCTCCTGGCCGGGGCTTTCAGCTCGGGGGGAATTTAAAGCTTGGCACCAATCCCACAGACCAGGCACCCGGGCTGGAGCTCTCACCAGGTAGCAAAGCACCCCAAAAACACTCCTGGTGCCCCTGCCTGGGATGCTGGTGGGGCCACATTCAAACTGGGGTGCACTTCAGAGCCCCTGGACACGGTGATTTGGGAGCTGCAGCCCTGTGAGCCCCAGATGGGGAGCTGCAGCAGAGCTGGCACATTCTTCCATGGGTGAGGGAGGAATTCCTCTCTTCCCAGGAGGAATGCTCTGCCAGGAGAGCCCAGCGTGCTGGCTCAGGTGTGGAAGGTAGAAGGGAGGGGGCAGGGAGGCAAAAATCCCAGTCAGAACTTCAGTTTGAGTTTAATCACCTCTCTGGGGTGACAGGTGCCTGTCCCTTTAGGATCAGCAAGGAACAACTTAGATATTCCCATCTGGAAGCAGTACTGGGACTGAGCCTCACAAATTAACAACATTTCCAGCAGGATCCTTCTCCAAGCTCCAACAGTGTTCCTGTCTCTAAACAAGTCAAAGCATTGCTACAATTTATTAAAAAAAAATACTGAAAATTGAGCCAAGAGGATCAACGTAAACCCTTGAGCTTATTTAGTTCAGTTCCAGTGTTTAGGAAAACTCAGCTTATCCAGATTTCTACCAGATCACCCCTTCGAGGCAGTGAGTCAGGAGGAGGAGTTGAATTTGAAAACAGCAAAGGTTCCACCCTTGGGGCTTCCAGGGAGTTGCAGATTCTCCAGTTTAAGTCACTCCAAAGGATTTTTCCACAGCTTTGGATGTGGACAGTTATCCCTGGGCCGGGGCTATCCTGAGCCAGGGCTATCCTGAGCCAGGGCTATCCCTGGGATGGCCCCAGGGCTGTTTGCTGAGCAAACAGGCAAAGCAGAGCCTGCTCTGCCCCGGGGCCCTGGGTGCAGCACCTCCCTCCCAAAGAGCTTTGTTATCCCACGCTGGGCTCCATTTGTCTTCTCCTCCTGACCCGGTGGAAGCAAGAGAAATAATCTGGGATAAATCTGGGAGACTCCCGGGGCAGCCTTTGATTCCACAGCACACAGGTTATGAGCTGCAATTAAAATGAGTTAATTGTGGAGCAGCTCCTGCCCCGGCCCTGCCCTCGAGGTTGGTGCACAAAGGCTTCTCAACATTCCAGCAGGTCAGGGAGGGAATTATGGAAGGACAAAGCAAAAATAAGGATTTGTTTCCCAGCAGTGATCTGCAGTGATTACTGAGGTAGGTTTGTACACCAGCAGTTTCCTGGTGCTGGATGAATCTCCACAGAAGATGCTCCAGAAGATTTCCAGCACCATCCTTGACTTCTGCCTCCAGTGTATCCCAAGGGATCCTTTCCACACACAAAAAAAATGCCCGAACTGAGAATTCCCTGCCATGAATCTGCAGAAGGGGATTAAAACAACCACGGCAGAGGCAGATCCCTAACCAAGATCCCTGAACTGGGGATCCTGTCTCCTCCTCAAGGAATGCCCATGGCTCCCAGCTGCCACATCCTCCTTTTCCCCCATCTGGGGGCAGCTCCTGCCTCAGTTTCCCCTCCCACCCATCTCTGAGTTCTTGCTCAGCACAGAGAATCCTCCCCAGACCAGCCCTGACATCGCAAGGAAGGTGGGGCAGCCTTGAATAAACTCCTCTGGTCCTGCTGGCCTCAGCCTCCCTCACCCAGCCGCCGGGGTTTGTAAACAGGCTCAGCTCTGGCTGTAAGAACGGGCTCTACATTCCTGCTTGGGGGACAAATTCAGCTTTCCTATGATAATCTTTTTTTTTTAAATAGATCAGGAACAGGCAATCTCAGCTTTTGTACATGACTCTAAAAAATAAATGGCTGAATATGATCTAGATAACTGCTTTTAAAACCCATCTCTTCCTACAGAAATTGTAAACGAGTAGAAAATTTAAATAGTCTTTTGTAAAAAAAGCAAGGACAATACAAGTTATAAAAAAATTGCTCTTCCCTGCCTTTCTCTTCCCCCCACCCTGTGGATGACTGAGCCTGGACAGCTCTGGGAAGAGCTGGTGATCCTCAGAGGAGCTTCCTTCTCCACAGCGCCCGTTCCTGTGGCGTTTCCAGTGTCCCCAAACGCTGCCAGCTGGCAGGGACGTCCCTCAGGCAGCGCTGGGCTTGTCCCCTGGAGGGAGGTGCACGGAGGGATTCCTTCAACCATCAAGAGTTCCCTCAAGTCTCATCAGAACAACTCCCAGCACGACCCCGACACCGAGATTTCGGGGCCGGCGCCTCCCGACACGCGGAGCCCACGGAAGGAGGGACGCAGGGAGGGAGAGAGAAGGAAGGGGGAGATTGTTTTCCACAGAGAATAAGAAATTCAGCAGTCGTGTTTGACGAGGAACAGTCATCAAATAAATAATTACCTACAGAGAGGTTCAGAGCACACAACCAGGCAAGTCCCACGGGGTCGGCTCGCACGCGGAGAAGCCGACGCCCCGATCCAGCACCTGCCGAGAGGCCGAGGATGACTCCGAGCGTGTCACCTCGCTGAGGAAGGCTCCGCCAGCCCTGCCAGCACCCCGAGCCCTGCGTGCCCCTCAGGCGCTGGTGCCATCCTCCTCGATGACGCGGTTCATGCTGGTGCCGTGCGTGATGTGTGTCATTGGGTTGCTGCTGAGGTCCCTGACGCTGCTGTGCCGTGACTGCTCGTTGAGCCGGTGGCAGCTGCTGTGCCTCGAGTGGTCGGTCAGTCGTGACATGCTGCCGTGAGGTAGTCGTTCCTCCACGCCCCTGTAGCTGCAGGGAGTGTACCTGATTTAGGGAAACACAGGGCCATGATCAGCGCTGGTGAAGGAAGGAAAGAGAGCTGCAGCGGGGAAAGGCGTTCCCTGCTGGGCTCGGGCTCCCACAGCCCCGGGCAAAGCCTTTCAGCTCCTGCACAATGGCTCTGCTCGGTGCTCACTCCAGAGCTGGCTGCCCGTGGTAATTAGGGGAGTGAAACGCTCGGTGATTAATTACCCTGGAAACCTGAGCTCCACCTCAACTCAGAACCTGTGCCCTTGTTTACTTCGGCAGGGCCAGGAGTATTGGCAGACACAAAATCCACTGACACACGGACAAAAGCAGCCAGGAGGGTGCTGAGCTGACTTCGGGGCAGCTCTGTTTGACCACACGCTGGAACACAGATCGCTCCCGTGCAGGAAAACCAGCGCTGCACACAGCCCTGCTGTGTAATTAATGCAACAAGAGCAGCACACACTCTGAAAATATCATGGCATGTTTTCTCTTTCCAGTCCAGACACTTAACAGGGAGAGGAGATGCACCAGAACATCCGATTTTGGCAGAATTATGGCCACATGTCTGGCTGGAAGGGGCCTGTCCAATCTTCTGCACAAGATTTGCCCAGAGAGGCTGTGGACTCCCCACATCTGGAATTGTCTGAGGACAGGCTGGACAGGGCTGGGAGCAACCTGGGACAGTGGAAGGTCCCAGGGAGATGGAATGAGATGATCTTTAAGCTCCCTTCCCACCCAAACCATCCAGAATGCCCCGAATTTTTGGAGCATGCCCTGTCCTGGATTGCAAGATAAGTGTCTATTCTATTTACCATCTGTTAGAGATGGGGCAATTATCTTCTGTTAATTGGGCAGTTTTTCTTTATCTCTTCCACAACCAATCCTCCCTCCAAGAGATCTCTTCTGTTGATGGGCCATTAATTATTAATTATTTTCTGTTAATGGGCCAACGAGTATCACTGCATGGCTGATAAAATTCCATCATCCCACTGGGAGATGCTCCACCCAGGGGGAGGAGCCAAGAATTACTGCCTGGATATAATCTGAGGTTTGGGAACACCACAGGCAACATTTTCCCACTGGATCCCCAGAGGAGCAGCCTTTTCCACGGCATTCCCAGAGGAGCAGCTTTCTTTTCCCACTGAATTCCCAGAGGAGCAGCCTTCTCCACTGGATTCCCAGAGGAAGACCAGGCCATTTTCACCACCACTGGACCTTCAGAGGGAAACTCCACCCTTCTAGAGGATCCCTGCTCCAACCTGTCACTGCAGGAGTGTCACCATGATACTTTAATGAAAAATCCTTTTGCTAGGATTTTTTCTCCTGAGAAGCCTCAGAGGAAAAGAAAACCAGTAACTCTCTGGTGGCTGTGGAATGTGGTCTGGAGATGTTTTACCAACAGGTTCATCTTGGATTGGTCCATGTGAGTTGTTTTTACTGGATGACCAGTCATGGTCCAAGCCGTGCCGGACTCTGCTCGGAGCTGCTCGGACACATCCCGGGAGGCCTCACCCAGCAGGTTCTGTCAGGTACAAAGATCACAAATGAAATAAAGGGATTTCTGTAGCCCATTCCTTCCCTCCCATCTGCTGGGCTGCTGCACAGCATCCAGCAGAGAAGCTTTCCCCTCAGTGAATCCAAGAATCCTCTGGCGTGACTGTGGTATTTTACAAAATTCCTTTGCTGGGATTTTCTCCCGAGGAGCTGAGAAGCCTCATTAAAGAAATGTAAACAATTAACTGTGTGCTGGCTGTGGAATGTGGTCTGGAGATGTTTTACCAAGAGGTGCATCTTGGATTGGTCCGTGTGAGTTGTTTTTACTGGATGCCCAGTCATGGTCCAAGCCGTGCCGGACTCTGAGCAGTCACAAGTTTTTATTATTCATTCCTTTCTAGTTTTCTGTCTGTATAATTTCTCTGTTTCTTTTAGTCTAGCATTTTAATACAATATCATAAAATAATAAATCAGCCTTCTGAAACATGGAGTCAGGATTCTCATCTCGTCCTGGGGACCCTCGAACACAAGGACACAGGAGGGCTGCAGCCACCATGGGATGGGACTGTGCCACCACCCTGACCCACAGGCTGTCAGCTCCTGCCTGACTCTGTCAGTGTTGTTTTGTATTTCTGCATTCTTTGGTTGTTGGGTTTTTTTTTAAATTTTCCTCCCTAATAAAGAACTGTTACTCCTACTCCCCTATCTTTACCCGAGAGCCCCTTAATTTCAAAATCCTAACAATTTCTAGGGAGGGGGTTTCCATTTTCCATTTCCCATCTCAGGGGGGGCTCCGACAGCCATCACCCCAACCCTCGCCGCGCCGTACCGTCCGTCCCGCGAGCGGTGCAGGCTGCCGTGGTAGCTGCTGACTTTGCTGTGCACGCTGCCGGCCTTGCTCCTCTGCTCGTCCATCACGGCCAGCTGCGTGGACGAGGCGTGCGTGGAGGTGCCCTGCGTGGAGGTGCCCCTGGATTTTCGGATGATGGGCGTGTTGGGGTCCCTCAGCAGCGACTGGGCGAAGTCCGGCTCCTGCAGCACTTGGCGGCTCTCGTTGACGACTCTGAGCGGGACAAGCCGGAGCAATTAGCGTTAATTAGTGCGGTGTGAAAGTGATCACAAAGCACAACAAGTAGCAGGGCTTGGCAAACAACAGCATCATTTCCATTACAATGTCCCTGTTTGCCTGATTTTGAAGCACCTCCCTGTGTGGTTATTTTAGCTCCCTGTCTGGTTGTTTTAGCGCCGTTGAATCCTTGAAGGATGGACCAAAATTCACAGAGGAGTCACCAAAAGCTTTCTGTCGTTGTGGATCTGTTTTAAAACATCCTGAAGGACAACATTTATTAGGAAAGCACCTACCCACGGCTACCACAAGATCACACAGATTGTCTCTAAATCAATGCCAACCTTAATCTTAATTAATGTCGACCTTACAGAAGCTCCAAGAAATTCTCCTTGTCACTTTATCAAGCTGCTCTTCAGCACCAATGAATAAGGAAGATTAAAAGCAGAGATAAATGCTTTCAACTGCAACCACGGTGAGAGGAACCTGCACTTCATTCCAATTTAAAGCTCTGATTCAGCTGGCTAGATGCACATTCATAAATAAAAAGTTTCCATTCCACCCCTCAGTAAGAGGCAGAATAGTTGAAGTGTTTATTTGGCACGTAATTCTTGTTAAAAACACCTTGAAGATGGACAAATGTAGATTTGATTCTGGGAATAAAGAATATTTAGGGAGAAATACGGAATTTTTTGAGCTGTTGCCTGTTTTGTCCTTCCTGACTCCGTTCTGGATAGTGACTTTTCCATCCATTCCTGCCTTTGCCTCCATGAAAACCCAACCCAAACTCTCTCCCAGGGCAGCAAGGGGAGGGTTTAGCTGTAAAATATCCGTGCTCACTCCTTTTTCCTGCGCCCGTGGAAGAAGCTGGCCCACTCAAAACAGGTCTTCTTGCTTCCAACCCAGAACACCGAGGGGATCCCAACCACCAAGGCCATCAGGTACTTCATGAGGAACAAAATCAGATCTGGACGGCTCATCTGCGTGACCTGGGGAGAGAAAAAGAGAGAGAAGGAAGGTTCCACCACCCATCCTGGCCCAGCACTGGTTATGAACACACGGAACTCATCCCTCCCTGCCCTGAGCCAAAGCAAACACGGGCAGGGTTCCTTTGTTCCCCGGCTCCACGGAGCACGACCAGAGCTCTGCACGGCCCTCGGACAAAAGGCTCAGCTGCTGTGAGGTCCTGGCCTTTATTTGTGTTTCTGCTCTTTTGTCCGTGCCCTGAATAATCCTGAAATATTTTCTAGTCTGCAAATCAGAAAGAGTCGTTCCTTTGATGGGATCAGCCTATGTAGGACCAGGTGCTGGGGCTGCTCTTGGGAAAAATGCCAGTGGAAGCTTCATGGATGGTCAGCACTGTCTTCCTCCCTCGGGAATTCAAGGCTCTGGCCAGCTACAAGTGCCTGGTTCTTATCAACCCAGCCAAACTTTCTCTCTTCAGGGAGATCAGTGAACCTGAAAACCCTCACAAGATCTGTTTTTCCATGTTTTCATACCCAAAGGGTTTGTTTGGAGAAGAAGACAAAGATTTTCCTTCCAGGAAGGTCCGTAGGGTATCGGCAGAACAAACAGCCAGGGGCTGTCTGGAATTGATAACCTGGCTCAAAACCTGAACCTTCAGGGAGAGAGAACTTCCAGAGCAGGCCTGGAAGAGGCCACAAGCTGTGGAGGGAAGGAACAAACTCGTGGTGGGGAGAAGTCCTCTGTGGGCATCTGTGTGGTGACTGGGAATTCCAACAATTCCAGCAACTGGGAGAACTGGGATAAAGGTGGGAGAGCTGGGGGTGTTCATCTGGAGAAGAGAAGGATCTAGGGAGAGCTCAGAGCCCCTTCCAGAGCCTCAAGGGGCTCCAGGAGAGCTGGAGAAGGACTGGGGACAAGGGATGGAGGGACAGGACACAGGGAATGGCTCCCACTGCCAGAGGGCAGGGATGGATGGGATTTGGGAAGGAATTCTTGGCTGGGATGGTGGGGAGAGGCTGAGCTGGAATTCCCAGGGATGCTGTGGCTGCCCCTGGATCCCTGGCAGTGTCCAAGGCCAGGCTGGACAGGGCTTGGAGCAGCCTGGGATGGTGGGAGGTGTCGGGGGTGGAACTGGATGAGTTTTGGTCCCTTCCCAAAGCATTCTGTGATTCCATGATCCCAAACACCCCCTGGCCACTGAATGATTCAGGTTTCCTGCTTTTTGCCACAGCTGAGGGAGATTTCCAAACCCCTTGAATTTTCCTACCACCTTGAGGATCTTTATTTCCTCAGAGACGAGGGCTGAGGACAACATGGAGGACAAACAGCAGAATTATCCTGATCTCAACAGGAACAAAATCTCAGGATAAGAAAGACCCACAGCTGGCTCAAGGACTGGCGTGGCAGGAAGGTTTAATTGTGGCTGTTTAATTGGGGGGAGATGCCCAGGAAATCTTTCCACTGCAGCAGTGGCTTTGGGACAGATGGTGACAATGCTGGAAAAACCACCACACCTGAGGAAGTGACTGAGCAGCCCAAGGAAACATCCCAGAAGCTGTTTGAGACAGCGACTGGTGAGGGCAAGGCTGGAATTCTCTGGGAATTCACAGGGAACAACCAGCTCCCCGTGCAGGAAGTTGCTGTGGCCTGGAGGGACTCAAAGGTGTGAGAAAAAGAATGGCTGAACACTGAAATGTGGGGAAAAAAAAAACCATTTTAAAGGGTTTTATCCAAGCAGTGGGAAAGAAATACTGCACCAGCCACGAGGGAATGGCATCCTTGGGAGAGCAGGATGGCTTCACACAGGAACTGACTGAGTGCCAGCAGTCTGTGGCAGTCAGAGCTGCCCTCTGATCCTACGTGGGAACACAGCTGCAGCCTCCCAGAACAACACCCAGAGCCAGTTTTTCCCCCAGACTGGAAATTCAAAGTCCAGTCGTGCCCTGTGTCAGGGGCGTTTGCCAGAAATCAGCTCCCACCCCGAGACGCTCCAGTTAATGCTGAGGGCATGGCAGAGCTTGCACTGCTTTAACCCAGCACATCCAGCTTTAATATTCTGGATTTTTGCACATTTTCAGTCCTGTCAGCACTGGGCATGGGAAACAGGAGTGCAGAAATGTCATAATTCCTGAGGAGTTTTCCATCCACCTCTGCCCCAGGAACACCAGGGATGCTGAAGGGTCCTGGGCACCACTGGAGCTCCTACAGCATTTCAGGAACAGCTCTGAGGTGGTTTTGTGGCCAAATTGTGAGATTCCACCCAGGAACCAACAATATTAACCATCACCCAATAAAAAACTACCCAGCTCTCAAAAATCCACTTTATTATTATTATTGCATCACGAGCTGGTTTGGCACTGAGTGGAATAAATGGGGAAATTCATCATTTCTTAATGAAGGTGACATTCATTCATTTTTATATTTAATTATTTATATTTACATTTAATGTCTGTCCACGGGGTGAAGTCTCCCCAAGCAAAACTTCCGGCCTGAAGGGAATTTAATTTTGAATTTTCCATCAAGGACAAACCACCAGTTCTGGTGCTAAAGCTCTCAGCTGCTCTCTGTATTAATTCCACCAAGATATTACAATAAATCACTCAACAGCAAAAACTCCTGGCTCAACGTGCTGGTGCTGAGTGCTACAGATAAATCCAAGCAGAAAAATTAAAATAAATACATTCAACAAATCTTTCAGGTGAAAGGAAGCACGTCCTGCTCTTTGGCAAAGCGAGGTATTAAACATCATTAGACACTTTTCTCCAAATTAAGCCTCAAAGCAGCCAATTCAGGGAGTAACACCCATTAAACTCACATTAATACTAAGTGACTGCACCTGTTTGAAACAGTATTAACCTGCAGACACGAGGTATTTATAATAATTAGCAACATTTATAATAATTAACACCGGAAAAATGAAACTTGAAATGACTCTTGCAGGTTTATTGGGCTAAAAACCAGGTGTTTGAGCCCAAAGGCACTGGGACAGAGACCAGTTTTAAAACCAGCAAAATTAGGCAAAAACTCACTCGTGTTCATCACCAAAACTTGGAGTTTTTTACTGCCCAGATATTTAGGAAGAGTGAAAACCACAGTTCACCTGGAATATTCAAACTCCACACGCCGCCTCAGCCAAAATGCAAAATATTTTCCACGAGCGCCTGTGATCATCATCTGCTCTGGGTTTTATGGAATTTATATCAAATTCTCCCTGACAGCAAATGTAACCTGGAACAGGCATTGGAAAAAGTGAAAATTGGACAGGATCCCAGGTTTCAGTTTATCCCCTGGGAGAGAGGAGGTGATGCAGGCAATAATCAATAACTGAGGCACTCTGGAGGTGGCTGAGTTGGTGGAACAAAGTCACCTGAGCCACTTTCCATCTGTGCTTTTGAAAATTCAGGTTATAAGGAAATATCTTTGGGTTTAAAAGTGCTTCTTTTGAGCACTGCCTGACTCTGTTTATAATTATACCTGAATAAATTTGGTTTATTATTCATTAAATATTGGTTTATTTAAGAAACCTCCCCAAAAGCTGAACTAGTGCAAGGAGGAAAAGGAATTGAAAGGAAGTTCAGGAGAATTTAAAACTTATTTTCACCTAAAGCTGTAGAAAAGGCTTCCAAAATGGAATAATAAAACTAAAATTATGAGTGTGGAATTTACATAAAAGTGTATAATACCACATGGTAGAAAACTTAAAGTTTTAAAATACAGTAATAGATCTAAAACAAGATAAAAGTTTTAAAACAAAAGCTTGTCCTTCTTTTTCCTAAGTTTAAATAATATTGTGCAATTAAATAAAAGTCTGCATTGTGAACCACAAGCAGTTATTAAATTAAAAATAATTTAAGTATCATTTCTTAATCAAGCAATTTATCCTTAAAAAAACCTTATAAAGAGAGAAATGCAACTCCATTTTTAATTTATTAAAATCTGTAAATTCACAGTTTGTGAGACTATAATATAAGTAAGAACCAATAAACATCTAAGTCCAGCTGAAACAATAACTGGGAACATCTTGTAAGGAATTTTTTTCTGTCATTTCTCGTTTCCCACTTGGCCAGACCCTTCCTGATGTCTCTGAAGCTCAATGTTCCCCCAAAAATCCTGTACCAAAGGCTTTCAAAATTCCCCCTTCACACTGGAAAGCTCAAATCCAGAGAGAGATCTCCTCTGGGCATTAAAAAATGGGATAATTTCGTATTTTTTTAGATAAAAACCTGTTTGTTCTGAACACCAGGAGCTGCTTTTCAGTGAGTGTCAGGGAGCGCAAGGCCCGGGGCCGTGTCCTTAGAGATCAGAACTTCTCCCAGAGGGAACAGAATTCCACTGCTGATTTTCTGTTTCCCTCCAGACCTGATCACATTCCCAGGGATGTAAAAGGGGTTTGGGCACTCCAGGAACACGAGAACTTGGAAATTTCATGGATTTTCAGAACGGTTTGGGTTGAAAAGGACCCGAAAGCTCATTCAGTTCCAACCCTGACATCTGCCACCATCCCAGGCTGCTCCAACCCAGCCTTGGACACTTCCAGGGACGGGGCAGCCACGAATTCTCTGGGAATCCCGTCCCAGGGAAGGATTTCCCTGCGGATCTGGGCTCTCAGAGCCATCCAGCTCTGAGGAAAACACACGAGGAGATGCAGGGTTTGGGCTGCGGGCCCCGCGCCGCGCTCGGAGCTGCTCGGACACATCCCGGGAGGCCTCACCCAGCAGGTTCTGTCAGGTACAAAGATCACAAATGAAATAAAGGGATTTCTGTAGCCCATTCCTTCCCTCCCATCTGCTGGGCTGCTGCACAGCATCCAGCAGAGAAGCTTTCCCCTCAGTGAATCCAAGAATCCTCTGGCGTGACTGTGGTATTTTACAAAATTCCTTTGCTGGGATTTTCTCCCGAGGAGCTGAGAAGCCTCATTAAAGAAATGTAAACAATTAACTGTGTGCTGGCTGTGGAATGTGGTCTGGAGATGTTTTACCAAGAGGTGCATCACGGATTGGTCCATGTGAGTTGTTTTTACTGG